ACATCCAAGTCAGAGCTCCCGAGGCGAAAGGACTGGCTCGTCTCTAACATCCGTACCTGTGTTGCGTTGTGAGACGGAAATATAGTCGATATTCGATGGCGCGCGCGAGACCCTCATGTGCCCATTTTCGGTGTGCAATAAACGTCTACCCCCCTGTCTTGTCGTTCTCGCTACAATATGTTTGACTTCGATTTTGTGCAAAGTTATGGAACGGATTCTGAAACGGGCCCTTCGCCTACATCTCGATGAGTTGGAGTTCCTATCTCATGTCCAACATGGCTTCCGAAGGGCGCGTTCATGTGCTACAAATTTGCTGGTTGCTAGTGAAAAATGGGCAAGATCCTTAGATGCCGATAAGCGTCTGGATGCTGTGTTTGTCGATTTCATTAAGGCTTTTGACAAGGTCCCACATGAGCGGCTCCTCTTCAAACTCCGGGGAATCGGCGTCACTGGCAATTTTCTTTCATGGGCCTCCGATTTCCTGCAAGGTCGCTTCATGCAGGTCAAAGTTAACGAAGCGCTTTCTGATCAAATTCTCATGACTAGTGGGGTCCCCCAGGGTTCTGTATTCGGCCCCGAACTCTTCAATATCTTCATCAACGACCTGCCATCCGAACTGCAGACCGACTGCTTAATCTACGCGGATGATCTGAAGCTGTGGATTGAGGTTTCCAGTCTGGAAGACGCAGACATACGTCAAGCGACACTCGATCAGCTCCACGATTGGTCACTAAAGTGGCAGTTGACCATTAACCATGACAAATGCGCTATCCTTTCAATCAGTGCTCCTGAGTCTTTTGGGGCTTACCATATCGGGGGTTTCCTGCTCAGAAATGTCAACCAAGAGAGGGACCTTGGGGTGATTGTGTCTCCTGATCTCAAATCAATGGAGGACACCCGGAGGAGGGTCGCATCCGCATACAGAATACTTCACGCTATACGGAGAGCCTTTTCACGCCTGACCCCAGCACTCTTCAGATTACTGTTTGCTTCTCATGTACGCCCAGTTCTCGAGTACGGATTGCCTGCTGCGTACCCGCTCACTAAGTCCGAACGTGACATGATCGAGAAGATTCAACGGCGTGGATCCAAATCCGTTCCAGAGCTTCGGGACATATCCTACCTCCTCCGGCTACAACGGTTGAACCTGTTCTCTTTGGATTATCGTCGTCGCCGAGGAGATATGATATTCACCCGGCGTATTCTACGAGGTGAGCTGGGGAGTGAGCTGCAATCGTTCTTTTGTCCAAACACAAGTTGTGCAACTCGAGGCCACCGGTGGAAACTTTTCAAACCGCGGCGACTCCGTGTACGGTCCGATCTGGCCCTATCCACCCGGGTAGTGAATGACTGGAACATCTTGCCAGAAGCTGTCGTCGATGCGGAGACTGAGGAATGTTTCAACCGACGGTTGGATACCCACTCTCTGAGTGCGCAGGGATTCTGCTGCCCACAATACAACCATAGCGATCTGCTGAACCTTGTTCCGCAATGATCCCAGCAACCCTCGCAACGTACGGGAAGTGACGGAGCTGACAAAGGAACTTCCTTCTGCTCTCTACTAACCAATGAACCAACGAACCAATGAACAGGTTGCAAGACGCATTATGGGACAGGAAAGTACCAGAAAATTATCAGCGTCTGATCTCGCAAAAGTTGGTGAACATTAAGTTAGCATCCAAGAACGAGTACGACATAGTCCGGGGAAACTAATACTCCAAAAGTATTTGTCTCAAGTGAATACAGACAACGCCAGCTTTTGTGCACGACACGCTTGTAAACACTGTTCCGAAACTATCCTTTGCGAGCGAAACATCAAATAGCCTACCCCGCAAAAATTTTCATTTTACCGCCATTTCATATGTAAGTGCTTCCGTAAACCACGACATTTACGCAATAGCTTGATAAGTTTTAGGTGCTTACGGGCCTGTCAATCACCAACGTGTCTATCGCTGCCTGGTCTGATTTACGGATTTGTGTTTGTGTTTGACTGAGCATGGCGACATAGACCTAACTGTCTTCTTAAATGTCGGGGAGATTATGAAGTGTCAGTTATGAAACACAACCCAGCGTAAGCATTTGGCTTAGTATTCTGTTGCTTTGCAGCGCGATCATGCTAGTGACAGTACAAGTGGGAACCATTTATGAAGGTCATCCGAAAGCTGCTCGCGTCCCTCCGGAGGTGCCCATCGTACGTCGCGGCTCTCATTGGTCAGTTGTAAGTGTTACTCCGTCCACTGCGTTCATCCACGTGCCGTAATTATCCATTATTTTCTGTTATCCTTGATTAAAGGCACCATCTTTTCACACTGCGCCATAAAAATGGGTTTTCTGTGGATTTGAGGAACGGACTTCATCCTCGACTCCCAGAGGGAATGAGGGATACTGCGTACCGACTTCGCAACTTTTCTGGTGTGGTTACTCGAAGGAAGAGGTCACTTGAGCTTCCCGCTGCTCGTTGTTCCACAAGAAAGCGGCTCAGGCGGTCCGATTCTGCTTCTTCTCAAAAGGAAAATCATGTTCCTCTCTCTGCTAGGCGCCCTAGCATATCCGATAAGGTACGACTCAATCCACTGCGGAACATCAGTCCTTTAAACGCAGTCTCTGAGCATTCACTTACTTCAACCCCAGCTGCAAAACCAATCACTGCATTTCTGTCGAGGCTTTCTACGCCAAAGATCAATGGATTCCGCCTCACTCGTTCTTTTAGTTCTCGGGAAATACCGATCATACAACCCCGAAGAACCCTTAGAAGTACGAGACGTAGCGATCAGGCAACTCCACAAGCCGAACTACGTATCGAGCTTGAGCGCGTACCTGTTCACAACCGCCCTGTTCTTCGTTCGGACACGGCCGATTCATCCGCTTGTAGTTCACTTGAGAGCTCTCCCACTGAGATACCTACAATGGCCAGCTCTTTGTTATCCTGGTTTTCACCACGCCGCTTCAATTTGACTGGTAAAGATCGAGCTGCAAAATTGAAGCGGCTCAACACGCGAAAAATCGAGTTCGATCTGCAGGAGCTGAATCAATCCATCGATCCAGAATCGTCTCAGTTGTCCTCGAAGTCTCTTCTGGTGAGTAATACGCTTAACCTGTTTAATGCTCTCTTAGGTTCCCTTAATGTTGCCTGGTTAGATCGTTCACGCTTTATGTTGTTAACAGTTTAAAAGACCGGCTGATTTTCTCCTCGGCGCTGAATGCTTTATTGGTCTAGTGCAGTGTTTGATGTAGGGAGGATTAATAGAGTTATTTCTTTATTGCTCTACTTATATTCATGTGGTTCAACGCGATTACTCCTTTCGAGCTATTGCGGTTTATTCAAGCTTTTTCGCACGTGGTAGGCGCATGAGGTTCGCTCACATTGCTATTTTCCATCTGTAGCCCTTTCCGGTTAGTACTAACTGGTGTTCTGCCACTTGTTCAACGGTATCGCACTTTGCACCTGCTACCTATGATGACTATATCACACAATGGTTCACCGTGTAAATAATAATATATACCAATGTGTCGGCTGTACGCTGCAACAGCGCTTCGCTGCCGTGCGACCACCACCAGTCGCACGCGGGCTGAGTATACACCTATGCGGATTCGAACCCACGCTGCAAGTTTACAAGATGGTTACCTCTAGGCTGCGAGTCCACCACGTTCGATCGCATGGCTCCATCTCGGATGGTGCAGTGAGGGATGATATTCCGTTGGTAATTACTTTCATTCTACGCTTCTGCGAACTTTATACGGGCAACTTTTTGGCGAACGCTACGAAGTATACGTAACGGTGGCGTCTAACGCGGCTCTTTACCGGTCAATCATCAATAATACCTTCCTATGTGCCTTTACTTAGGTCTCTAGACATCTGTGGCATCCACACTTTAAGAAGACGTCTTTCGCCAACAAGAAAGACACATAACCCGCCATTAATTGCAATCCAGTATTGCTTTATTCCTCTTCTGCGGCCAATTATGTTATTCATAGTTTTCTCTTGCTCATCATTAACGCATTCATTCTATACAGAAGATGAGGAACCCGTTATTGTGGTACAATACAACTCAATCAGCTGGCAGTGAAAAAGAAAAAAACTTTGTCATGTTTATCATTTTTGGACTTTTGACTGCCACTGGAGAAAACGCACATCTTTATCCTTTACAATCCTTATCAAATAATGAGGCCACCTTGCGCATTCTATGGATCACTGTTTCGAGTCCACTATGGCGCACTACCCACCAGGGAGCCAGTTCGTGACTAAGCGTCTGGTACAATGGAATTTAAAGTTCCGGATTTTTCAACTCCTCGGATCCCCTGGTACCGGGGGTCGGACCGACGCGGAGTGATTTTGGTGTTTAGCTCTCCGCTGGTAGCTGATCGGTCCGGGCGACTAGCTTTAACCCGCATTCCACCGGTACGAGTTCGCGTATGCACGGGTGACCTCGTACTGTTACGATTAATATGTGAGCAGCTCGGATCGTACTAGATAATGAACTATTAAACTTGCAGCTACCAGACGACGGTTCTTTAATCGGATGCGGATACTTTGCGAACGCTACTAGGTAGGCTGGCGTGCAGCGCCGCGCGCTTCCGCGAACGCTTTTCACCGTCAATATGTATGGTAGTTCCAAGACAGGAATTACACTACGTTTTACTTTTTTTGAGGCATTGACAGCAAGGGAAGAGACGCTGGAAATGGCCACCCGATCTACCTATTTATACAGTTGTATCATCTAGTGATTGCGAACACTACACGCCTAATGCTAGCAAAGCTCTTAGCCTCCGCCAAATGTTCATTTGGCGAGTTACAAGCCTGTTGGTTTACAACAGAGCGAGTGATACTATATGGATCGGGGCCAAACGCTACTCACTGAAAAATTATGGGACTAATGTTGTTCGACTACCGGAGCCTGCGCAGTGTTTCTCATGACTGGGGGATTACATGCGTAATGCTGTAGATTGTCATCTCACGTTTAGCATCAGGTCCAGTGATCCCTCATAGGAGTGCCTGCAAACTTGGATCTCGTGCCAGTGAGCCGGTTGCGTTGACGTGCATTGGCCTCCACTGTCGTGTCTAGTTGGGTGAGGTGCCAAAGTAATCAGTCAACGTGGAGAAAGAACACACCAACTCACCAAAAAGCGGAATCGAATAAGGTTTTGCCGCGTTCCTAGATGGTCGCATATGGCACAGTCTCGGACTCGATGGAATGTGCATTCGGGTGAACGAGGCACCTGACTTGTAATCCACAAGTCACCGGTTCGAAACTACGTTGGCACGGGCTACATCGCGGTGCTCCCTGTCCACCCCTATTTAATGTTGGTTCTGTGTCCGCGAATCATCAATACGACTTACCGGCAAAGTACTGACATCATTACCTGACTTCTCCATTTGACGACTTTCCTATTCGTGCCTCTGTTGTTATTAGTATTAACTTACTACTTTGCCGGCAGAAATCTTGACCATTTTATTCATCGCACCTCGCTGCACCAATACCAATCGATGAGCTCAACTGAACTGCGATTTACGATCGTCAATAAAGGAATGCATTCCTGCAGTGGAACGTTTGCTAGCAGGATGCGAGAAAACATAATACTTATCACAAACCACCTACCACATTGCTTGCCCGTGGCCTTTAGGATTACAAGCCTGCCTTGTTATCTGATTTCACGGATCCGAGTCCGCGTAGGGCTCTGGGCATCACCATCAACAGCAGTAAACCAGTCATTTGAACTGATGCTTCGCTGCCATACAACCATGAGGACCTATGAAAAAAATAATAATACTGAATACTAAATACTGAATACTGTATTTTGGAGCAAGTAGTAGTAGCAACTCCTTTTGTAACACACAAAATGCTTGCTCACACAGTGAGTCACAAGTGGGTGATATCGTTGTCAAGTGGCAACCGTTCTCTGAAACGTATGTTGACGAAGTGTAAATCCAACAAAGATTTGAATTTCTGCACAGATTCGGCCTCGACGACGTGTTCTGGCAGACTGTTCCAGGCGTGCACAACCCTCCGCTCGAAACACAGGGGGTGTGGGATTTTCTTCAGATCAGGTACCACGAGTTTGTACCTGTGCCCACGTGTGGTGCATGGTACTCGCAAGTGGAGTAACGACCTTAGCATGGGGAAATGACCGAGATGTAAAATACGATAGGTCATGATAAGATCCACTCGAACACGGCGATACGACAAGGTGTAGAGCCCAAGTTTCATACACCGGTTTTCATACGATAAGCTTCAAGCTGGGGATCATCTTGGTGGCGACGTGTTGTACCGTCGATCTTTTGCGCTTCGCCGCGAGTGATCGGACAGTATGCAGGCAAGCCGTACTCTACCATTGGTCTGACAATGGAAGAGAAGAGGCGAGTGGCGACGTCCTCAGACCAAGTGCAGAAGCTGCGTTTCAGCGCCCAGAGCATGCGCAGTCCGTTTCGATACAGTTTGTTGATGTTGTCGACGGACTTCAAGTCGCAGCGTGAGAGTACACCTAGATCTTTCACGGAAGGTATGGGATGCAGTGGTTGGCCGTCTAGGGTGTACGTTCGGTCGTGAACAGCCTTCCCGAGATTCATGAATAGGGACTTTGCCGGGTTGACCGGTAGGTGGACTTCAGCAGACCATACTGCGAGGCGGTCGAGGTCTTGTTGGAGAATATCACAGTCATCGAGAGTATCAGTTTCTCGCCAAATTTTGAGGTCATCCGCAAACAGTGCACACGGCGACCGTAGAAGCTGGGTCAGCTCGTTGATGTAGATGAGAAACAGAGTGGGTCCCAGTACGGTACTTTGAGGTACACCACTGGTCGAGGGATACCAATCGGTTAGATGGCCGTCCACCTGTACCCTCCACTTTCTTCCGACGAGAAATTCATGGATCCATCGATGTAACGATCCTCCGACACCACACGACCTTAATCTGTCTAGAAGCACTTCATGATTAACTTTGTCGAATGCTTTGCTGAAGTCGCTGTAGTTTACGTCGACGGACTTTCCCCGGTTCAGTGCTTGCAACCATTCCTATCTCGTCACAAGTAAGTTGGTAACACAAGAATATCCCATCCTGAATCCGTGTTGTGCCAGTGTCAGAAGTTAGAGCGGCGCACCTCGTCGACATCACAAACCAAACTGTTGAGTTCTACAGGAAGGGGACTTACCTGAAAATCTTTATGCCCTAAGCAAACATTCAGTTTCAAGGCGTCTACATCTTGTATAGACAACGTACCGTCACAAACAGCTGGCTATCGTGCAAAGACAAGGCGACATCGGCGAGACAACTTCCTTGCGGCTTTCACTGCCACGCGTCGTAATCAGACATTGCCCCACAGATAACTCAGCACCAAACACACTTTAAACAGGCAGTCCGATTAGGAGACGGCAGCAGACACGCCACTGGTGTCGGTTGCGAGCCATGTCCTGTAAAGTCTAGTGCCAAGTACAGGGCGAGTCACGTGGACTCCAACCCGGAAGCGGAGACTGACCAATGGAACCGAGTGGTCAGGGACTTCATTTGCAGCTGCCAAGTCAACTTCTGTCTACCTCGAGCCTTTCGTCACCCTACACCTGGCAGACTAAACAAGCGGTGACCAAGCATACGTAGCACGTGCCCGAGCCAACGCAACTTATTCAGTGCTATATGTTGTTCTAGGGAGCTGGCATGAGTTTCACTACCTAGTAATCGCCTACGCACATCATCGTTGCGGACACGCTGGTGCCATCCGACTCCAGCAATGCTTCGCCGACAATGATGATCAAAGACTTGAAGGCGATTTAGATCTTCAGATCGAAGGGGTCAAGTCTCACTGCCATAGAGCAGCACGGCCCTCGCTGTGGCCTTATTTACACCGCCTTTCAGACGAAAGTAAACACCCTTCTGTCGCCAAAGATGCCGCAGGTTCAAGAGGACTGCTCTGGCCTTTTCTGTGCGTGAGCTGACGTCAGTTTCTATGCGCCCATCATTGCTGATTCAGCTGTCAAGATAAGTGAATTGATCAACCACCTCTAGTTCCTCATTTTCAAGGGTCAAGCGGTCGTGAAGTGGCTGATGGTCCTGTAGCAACACTTTGCACTTTGAAGGTGCGTAGTGCATACTAAATAATGGGACCACTCTGGACAGGCTATTCAGGCTTGATTGTGCCGCCTCAACATCGTCGAAAAGCAAGACAATATCGTTCGCATAAT